TGAAATGTTTTGTTTGTGTTCTGAGGGGACCCTTCTCTCAAAGGAGCAGAAAAACGCTGATTTTTTTCATTATTTTGAAGTCACTTTCTACATATCATCATCCAGCTTGCTGTAATTTTGAAACTTGAATATTAATTTTCTTTCTAAAACTCTGAATTTTGAGGTGCTGACATTGCTGGAATTATACATGTCTTGAGACTGAATAGTCTGTAAAAGATACTCATGTCAGATTTAAGCAATGCTGACTGCTGTTTAATGCTTGTGCATGCCCCTTGCATGAAGATGAAGAGCTCTTACATGATTATTGTATTAACGTGGATTTCTTATGCATGAAAAGGTAAACAGACACATAAAAAGATACATATGCACACACAGATGTAAATATCCAATAAAGGATGTCACATTCAGTGCTTATTCCAAAGGTAATGAAAATAAATAAAATTCTTGTAGAATTAGAGCTCTAAATCATCACTGATTTAAGAGAATAATAATATTTTATAGTATTTTCCCTAAATAAACATAGTAAAAAAAATGACGCTCATCTGTTCTACTTTTCCAGAGTTAAATAGTTTTTTTCTCCCCTCTAAAGAGCCTTCCAATGTAAGGCATGGAGTTTAGAAAATAGTAAGTTCAAAGTTTTATAGGATCACATTAGGTTTTTAAGAATTCATCTAATACTTTCTACAACATTTTATGAAAACAGATATTCTTCACCTCAGTTAATTAAATCAATAGAGAGGAAATAATAAAATGAGTTCAATATTAGATTACAGTGTAAACATTACTCTTGGAAAACACTAGGGAAAGGATTTAAAGGAGAATTATTCATTGAACTGCAGCGCTACCTTCTACAAGTGTTTTCATAATTAATTGTGTTGGTCAGTTTGGAATCCAAGCTCTAAAGTAATAAAAAGTGTGCCACTTGGTTATTTTTTAGATCTTGTCTTTCAAAATCTGAATAAAAACATACAAGTAATGGTTGAATTGAGTAAGGTGTATATAATTAAAAAAAAAAAAAAAAAAGGAAAAATGGAAACAGGAACCCAAAATATTCTAACATAGATGCTTCCTTGATGCTTATATTTCCAGTTATTTTGTCTGTAAGTGGGGAATACATATCAGAGCAGTTACTTTTTGTAAGCAGCATCTCTCCAGCTCTGACAACAAAGGATTCAGCCTGGGCTGCACAACATAACCAGGAATCTGGGTAAAAATTCAAATGGCTGCCTGCAGTGTGCTCACACACTACATGTACACTGATACACATGTAAGCTAATTTTTTAGAGCTCAATTAAATGTATCTGCAGTATACCAGAGACATTGCCAGTCAGTGACATCCATCTTTGTAGAAAAGGTCCAGAACAGACCAACACGTTATTAAGTGACAAGAGGTCAACCCTATTTATTTCAGCATGTATTCAAACAAATGCCTGAGAAATCTGGCCTGCTATGAGGAGACAAGCCTTTTAATGCCTGAAAAATTGTTACATAATTTTCCTATTAAAAACTCTATTATTAAAAGATAATATATAATATATATACACTGTAAAATAAACTGAAAATACTTCAGATAGTAAATCATTCAAATATGCAATCTTCGTATCCTCCCAAAAGCAGCAATTAATTTACTTTAGTTTATAGCTAAAAATGGATGCAAAGCATTGAGCCATCTTAAAATTAGGTTCATAGCACTACTTAGCTATACTTTCTTCTAGCATACATCCTATTAATTTTTTCATGCCCTTTAGGTCTTCTGCCTTACATACATGAGAGAAAACTAATCCACTTCTGCCAATAAGAAAATTTTGCGAAACAAAAAATTACTTAGCTAAACAGAAAAATTACATAGCTAAATAGAAAAATCTTCTGAGTTGGTGTTTTTTTCTCCTTTCATGCTTTACCCTTCACTATTTTCATTATGTAGACTGTAACTAATCAGTTTATGTAATTAGGCATATACATACACTATCTCATTCTAAACACAAGTAATTTAAGTACAGGGAAATCTTTCAATTTCTGCATATCTAAAATCCACCTTCTACTGGATATCTATCTTCAATCGATAGCAAAAATAAAAATCACTTCTTGACAACCAATATTGATAATTTAGATGGGGAAGTCACAGACAGATGGAGTCCCATCTCATCTACTACAGCTGCTTTAGTAATAGCGTAACAGTAATGCACCAGTGACCACACTTTTTTCTTACTAATTTTTTACTACATTTTCACCAGAGAGCAAGGATATTGGACTCCAGGAGAGCTGACTACACACACTAGTAGGAAGACACAGCCTACAAGGCATCAAACCTTTGATATGTTCCAAAATAAATGACTGAAAGCAAACAATTTGAGACAGTTGTACTTCTATTTTGACTCTCAACCATAAAATCCAATTCATCAAAAATGCACATGCCAGAATAACACCAACCACCAGAATAACATCAACACACAATAGCAACAGCTCATCTTAATTCATCAGTATTTCTCAAATAAAAACAGTGACAGTTATGTACTAATGGTGTCAATATACTCCCACTCTGCACAGACCATCATTGTTCATCATTGATTTAACACTCCCAGAAACCATGAACCTTCTCATATGCACAGACAAGGCCCCAGATAACTAATGTCAAACCAACCTTTCTTTATCCCTGACAAAAACTCACTCAAATGTGTTGTGGTTCTGTCCTGAAAAAGGCTTTCTAGAAATACAGGAGAAAACATCCTACAGACCCACAGAACAGGTACTTCCTCTCTTCCATTAAAAACTTTAACAAGAGAACAATTTGAGCCAAATGTGTTGAAAAATTTTTAGGTAGCAATTCTTCTGATCCCGCTGAACTAGGCAGGATTTGTACCAATAACCTAAGATCAGAATCTCTATTTCTGACGATAAGGTCATCAGCTTTCTTACTGCCCCCAAAATCCAGGCAAAGAGTTTACAAGTCATTCCATTCATCACACTTCATCATTTTTTCCCAATATTTTATTAAAAGCTTTTATTTTTGCTCCTATCATTCTTACAATTCAATGGCTGCTGTCTAACACAGAGCCTTGGCACTGATTTCTAATGCAGTAATGCAACTATGTCCCTATGGCAACTTGTTTTCAGATAATTTCTCAAGTCATACATCTACGAACCACAGGAGATGGCCTATGTTATTACAGCTGTTCCTATAATATGTCATATTTATTAAAAAGAACTCCTAATCTTCCATTATCAGCCTACAACCCTTATAGTGTGTGTAATTTATCAATTCTCTCACTTTCTCAGTTCCTTCCTTTCTAGCAAACCAGTATTTATTATTCAGCAGTTGAAGTTAGCTTCCACCCAAAGCCCAGAGAGATGGCAGGAGGAGGTGTGCAGTCCCTCAGAGACAGAGGTATTGAAGCTAAATTTCATGGATGGAGGAAGGTTGTGGCTAGGCAAGACAGACAATTTCCTCCAACACTCTAGAGCTATTGAAATATGCAGTCCTCTTCCTCTGGTTTTCTTCTTATTTCCTGCCATGTTACTTCAATCTAACCCACTTAATGGACAGAAAACCTTTCAGCTTTTTGACTGAGTCAGGTTTTTTTCTGGTTGTTGTGCTTCAGCTGGCTTCCCAAGGGAATGAATGAGCATCAGACATGCTACCAGAAAAGAGGGAGGAACACAGCTAGGGACCATGTATCTGATAGCAATGAGCAAGCAGATTGGTTTGACTGGGTCCAATCTGCATCCCAGTTACATCCACACACAAAAAATACTCCATACTGCTTCCACATAGTCCTACTCCACTAAAACACAACACTATTCCTTTGCTTCCCAAGCCTGCTGTTTGCTGTTCTAAAAGGGCAAAGATTCTGTGTGTTCAAAAAACTGCAGAGAGCAGCTTGTCTGTCCCAGTCAGGGAGATCTCATGGCATTCTCCTTCCCTTCACTTGTGTATAAACAAAAGACACTACAATATATAAAATCTATGTTCATAATTCCTAAGCTAATAAAACTACAACCAAGCATTATGAACTGCCTCAGCTGCTTTCATATTTTCAATTCTAAGAAAAGCAAAACATTAATCTTTCAACTAATTTGTTGAAATAGTGAAGGTTTTAAAGGTATCGTATATTAGGTACAGATTTTAAATATTTTTCTTGTGTGACTGTCCTCAAACGGCAGCTTAAGTGCTTAATATACTTGCAAATATATCTAAACATTTCTAAGTGAGCTTCATACATTAGTGTACCAGTTTAGCTTCTCACATCCAAATCTACCCTGTAAGATTCATTATTATATATTGCTCTCTGCTGCAGAGATATTTTCTCCTGGGGAGAAATAGAAAGCAGTTAACACCTGCAGTTTGGAAAAGAAATTTTGATCTGATGTGATTCAAAAAAGCATTTGAATTAACAGAGAAGCATGCTGCAAATAAAGTTGACAGCCATTTATAGTGTAAAACAGAATGGCATTTTTAGTAGCATGCAAATACAGCTGACAGGCATGTTTTTATTCAATTAGTTCCTGGTTTCCAAGGGCAGAGTTGTGTGCACACATCCAAACTGCACCCTCTAATTTTAGAGACTTTCGATACTGAATATTTAAAACTACTTAGTATCTGAATCAATTTAACAGAATGTCACTTAACACACTTCTCAGTTTTGGCTTTCAATAATTTACTCTATACCTCAACACTGCTCATGACCTGATCCAAAATTACATCCAAGCAGATTTCTTGGCCTTTTTTTTTTTTTTTTTTTTTTTTTTTAAAAAAAAAAAAAAA